TGTCGGCACAGCACGTGATCCTCGATACCCTATTTGATACCCTTAGTTCCCGGAGCCGGGACCGTTCCCATTACCTTCTACCTCCGCGCCTGTGCTGTGGGCTCTGACCTCAACTCCCGATTTTCGCCCATTTTACAGATTAAGGCAGTGAGGTTCAGGAAGAGTTGTGGGTGGGACGGAGGAGGGACTGGAGCCTCCTTCTGCTCCAGGAAGCTCCCCCGACGGCGCCGGGTATGAGTGGGCTCTCAGACGCTCCCGGGAATTTTCTCCCGGGCGTCTGGGATGAGAGCCTCAGAGTCGGGGGAGGACCTACGGTCTTCGAATCCCCAGTCTGCACGCTTAGGCTGTGGAGCCAGGTAGGGGGCTCCCGGCCTCCGGGTCTCAGTTGTCCCATGTGGGCAGGGGCTGCCCTCTCGGGCCTTTGTGAAGGACCTAAACTGGGGGATGGGAGGCGGGGAGATGGCAGGATTCAGGTCCCGGGACCCTGGAATCACCCGCGCTCCCACAGCGCTTACCTGCGACCAGGGACAGATTATCCAATAAGGTAAGGACGGTGCCTACCTTGCTTACCAGATCATCTGTAGTGAACAATTTCAGATGGGTTTCACAACTTTGATGTGGTGAAACCCATGTGAAATTATTGACTATAGTAAGTAACACATGAGAGCCCCTGCTTACCTTGTTTACTGGGTCATCCGCCCCTTTCAGGGACTGTAAATTTAAAAGGAGGCTTTGATGCTGTAGGAAGGTGCTGTGGGGTTGGGCGAGAGACAGATGCGAGCCGTACTTAGAAGCAGGGTCTTTGATGTGGTGAAAAAATGTGAAATTGTTCACTATAGACCATCTGGTAAGCAAGGTAAGCACCGTCCTTACCCTGCCTGTTGGATAATCTGCCCCAGCCTGGGACCCTCACACCTGAAGCGCCGCCTCCTTTTAGCCGTCGGGCTTTGCGTTGAGCTGGGCAATGGTCCCCAGGACTCCTGAGGGGCGGGGCGGAGCGGGGGGCGGGGCCGGGGGCCGAGATTCCGCGGAGACAGCGGCGGCGCAGCGAGCCCCGGCGCGCGGACTACGACCCGGACCCACCCCCGCGCGGCGGCGCCAGGTGAGCAAAACTAGGGTCCTAGGCTTCGCCCCTCACTCTTCCCACCTTCCTGTTTCCTTAAGGGCGGGAGCCCACTATCCCCTTTGCTCCGTGCAGGAGTGTGGACGCGGGCGGTGGCGGGACCCCGGAGTGCAGGGGACGCAGTACAAAACTACTTTCTGCGACCTGGGACCTGCAGGCTGTATCCTAAAGTCTCCGCCACCCTGGGGTCCCCAGCTTCGACCCACGCCCTCCAGAGTCTCGAAGTCTCTGAGAGTGTCCGCACCTCCCTGCTCTGCACGCCTCCGCTTCTCTCCCCGTAGGGCAGTGCCGGGGCTCAGGAGTGACCCCTCTGGAGTTGGGGCTGGGTCGCCAGCTGTGGCCTGGGGCAGGATGGCCACTTCTCTGGCTTCGGGCTGGGGAAAGGGCTCCACACTCCAGGACAATCGGGGAACGGGCCTCGCCGAAGGGTGCCCAGGGTTGGGCTGGGGTCCGGAAGCCTGGCGTTCGGCCTTGATGGCGCCCCCGCCTTGTGCAGCAGTGTGACCCCAGGAAGGCCCCTCTCCCTCTTGGGCCGCAGTTTCAGTCTGTAAAAAACAGACTTTGGACGCGGTGGACGTTGTGGCTCCTCGCTAGGCCCTGGGCCTTCGTCGCCCCTGTCGGAGGCAGGGATGGGGTGTATGCTTTGCCCTTCAGGGGTGTAGATGCAGAGTGGGCAGGGTAGCAAGGCCTCCCTGGGGCTTTGGCTACGAGCTTCAGCGCTGGAGCTGTTTAGATATTAGGCTGGAGTGGGAGGTGGTGAGGACGTACCACTGGACAGCGAGGTCCTAACCCTTCTCTTCTGTGGCCCAGGCGCTGGGATGGGAGCCCAGTTTCCTCCTACACCCTCCCTCCCCTTCGTGGGGGCCACCCCACACGCAGCCCGGCTTCTTCTGCCACGGCCCGGGTCCAGTTCTTTGGCCGCAGACCAGGCCAGGCCAGCGGCCGGGAGGGGCTTTAGCTGGGCGGCCCGGGACTCTGGGGAGGCCTGGGGCGCAAGGGCGGTGCTGACCCAACCGGGACGCGGGCCACTGAGGCCTCCGCGGAGGAGGCCGGAAAGGAGGCCAGGCGGCGGGAAAGGGGGATGATTCATCCCGAGAAGCCTGAATTGGAAACGCCGCAACCTGGGAACAGCCTTGCCCGGCCGACGGGAGAGCCGGAAGGGGAGCCCGCCCGGCGAGGCCCCTCGCCCAGCATCGGCAGCCCCTGACTCCTGCCCTGGCCCCAGTCTGGCCGCTGGGGGGGGGGGTCTCTTCTGCGCGGAGCTGAAGAAATCCTGGGCAGAGTCTGCCGCCGCCGCCGCCGCCTCTCCTCTGACGGGCTCTTCTTGGTCAGAGCAGTCTTCCCGGAGTCTAGCTCAAGTCTCTCCTGCTGCAGCTTCAGTGCTGACTGAGGAGGTCTGGAAGGAGGGGGCGGGCGGGGAGAGGCTGGAGTCAGTGACACCCCCTCCTTGCCACGCTGCGGTATGTGAAGCCCAGGCTGGGAGGAGGGCAGGTGGGGCCGGCGCGCGACCCCTGCGGACCAGGGCGGTCTGAGTGCCCTTTCGCTCCTTTAGTACGGTGCAGCCACGTGCGGGGGAGGGGGCCAGTCTGGGTGGTACTTACCCTGGAGACGCCGCTGCCGGGGACCCCACGCCTGCCGAGGCCCAGGACCCGCGTGGGCTGGCGAAGGGGGCGCAAGCGGCTGGAACCCCGCAGCGGGGATGCGCCAGGGAGCGGCCGGCGTCCCCCCGCCTCCTCTCCGTCCGCGGGCCCGGCCAACTGGGGCTCTTGCCGGGCGTCCCTGGCTCGGAGCTCCGCTGCGGAAAACCCGAGCGGGGGCGGCTCCCCGCCTCGCAGCCCGGGAAAATCCGGGGGTGGCAGCCAGGGATCTCCAAGCGGCTTGGGCGAGGCGGCCCGAGCTTCTCTCTCGAATTTGGGCCCGGAGCCGGGCGTCCAGACCCCAGGCCCGTCGGTTCAGCCCCTGTGTTCCATCTTCTCTCCGCAGAGCTCCCAGACGACGGCGAAATGACGGCTGGGAGCCCCGGAGACTGCGGGGAGGCGCGGAGGAGCCCCGAAGGCCGCGTCTCCCGCCTGGGCCGCCGCCTGGGCCGCCG